ATTGGGTTTGGAGACCTCGCGATAGTTTGCAAACTTAAAAATTGAAAAATTGGGAAAAATTAGGCTTGGAGATCTCCCACAGTTTGGCAACTTAAAAATTGAAAAATTGGGAAAAATTAGGCTTGGAGATCTCCCACAGTTTGCAAACTTAAAAATAAAAAATTGGGAAAAATTAGGCTTGGAGATCTCGCAAAGTTTGGCAACTTAAAAATTGAAAAATTGGGAAAAATTAGGCTTGGAGACCTCGCGATAGTTTGCAAACTTAAAAATTTGATAAATTGGGAAAAATTAGGCTTGGAGATCTCGCAAAGTTTGGCAACTTAAAAACTGAAAAATTGGGAAAAATTAGGCTTGCAGATCTCCCAAAGTTTGCAAACTTAAAAATTGAAAAATTGGGAAAAATTAGGCTTGGAGATCTCCCAAAGTTTGCAAACTTAAAAATTAAAAAATTGGGAGAAATTAGGCTTGGAGATCTCGCAAAGTTTGGCAACTTAAAAACTGAAAAATTGGGAAAAATTAGGCTTGGAGACCTCGCGATAGTTTGACACCTTAAAAATAGAAAAATTGGGAGAAATTAGGCTTGGAGATCTCGCAAAGTTTGGCAACTTAAAAACTGAAAAATTGGGAAAAATTAGGCTTGGAGACCTCGCGATAGTTTGACACCTTAAAAATAGAAAAATTGGGAGAAATTAGGCTTGGAGATCTCCCAAAGTTTGCAAACTTAAAAATTGAAAAATTGGGAAAAATTAGGCTTGGAGATCTCCCAAGGTTTGCAAACTTAAAAATTGAAAACCTAGGCTTGGAAGTCTCCCAATGAAAAATTTTTCAAAATATATATCAATATCTCTTTGTGCCACCCTTCGCGTCTATAATTGTCCAAATAATCCCGACATACTTCCAATATTTTTTCTCAATCCTCTCTTAGGCTTCCTCCTCCAGTAATCATCGTTCTACTTCGCTCCACCTTCCTCGGTTCACCCACGAAGAGGAAATCGAGGGAGAGACTCAACGATGGAAAAATCCTCCTCCCACCGTTCCTCAGATTCCGGAAAACGATTGCAGCAATCGAACTCTTCACGTGAAGAAAATAACAAGTTGGAACGACGAGGGAAAAAAAGGAGAAGAAGGAGAAACACGAGAAATATAAAATCCACCTTCCATTATTATACATGAAAATTCTTGTTCCGTGTGTTGTTTAGGAGTATGTGATGTGCACGCCATGACAAAGCCGTGTTCAAGGCACGAGCTATCGCGAATCGCTTCGGTACCCCCGAGTGGCTACAGTCGAAGAGATATAGACGATGAAGAAGAAGAAGAGGTTGAGTAGGAGGAGCAAGGAGAGGAAAAAGGCAACGGGGAAGGCGAACAACAGGGACGAAGGAGCACGCAGAGACGTGGAAAGGAACAATGACTCGCGGTGGTGGCGGCGTTTATAGGGCCGTATCGGCCGACAGTGGGGTGAGTTGAGCTCGTAATTAGTCATAGTGCGATGCGCTAACAGCGGCACTCTGCAAGAGTGAGCCTCGCTCGTTCGTTCCTTCGTGCTCGATTCTCCTGCCGTCGTGGCTACGGGACTAACCTCGGAAGCTCGGCTAAATCATCTACTGGGTGGCTCGAAAACACCCGAGAAACAAATACACCCTTCTACCATGTCGTGCGAATTTCAACAAATTTTTTACACCTTCCAAATTAATTCAACCCACGTGCATTTTCCCTTCCACTGTATTGGTTCAAAAAAGACCAAAAGATGTTATATGTGACAGTTTTTCTTTTACCAGCACGCCATATGAATCTAGACAATAAATTTTGAATATAATCTTAAGGGAACGCAAACTTGACAAAAATTATTTGAAAAATGAAGAAGGCCATGGGTCAAAAAGGACCCGAATGGACGAATTAGACTGGATATTCCTGGATTGCTAGATTAGACTTAATATTTTCATCTAGTCGTATAAAGTAAGATACGTTGCACAATGTACAATAATTTTCACTTAATACTTAGCTGTTTTTTTCTGAAAAATTGCAAGTTTAGTAAGTAAAGTCAAATCACCCGTGACCAAACAGGGTACTTACTCAAACTACCGTGAAAATGCTTGATTTTTATTGTCAAATGATTTACACACAGGTAATAAAATAACATAAAACATAAGAAACATAAAAATTTACCTACATATTATCTCGATAAACGAATACAAAAGGTGTTGAAAATTCGAGGAAAGGTAACACGACTCGATAAGATCGGAGCTGGATTGAGATTTCGTTCTGCACTAACTCGAGCTACCGCAAAGAAACGCAAGAGAGTCCGAAGCGGCTAGAAGCTCGGTTTTACGACCTTACGACAGATGCTCGGTACAAAACGTCGTACCGCGATCAAAAGACCGCGGTGCACGCATAACGGGCCACGGCAGTTGCATCTGCCGCGAACGGCCATTTGATTTATGCTCGTCGTATCTAACGGATCGCTGGAAATTTCATAATTGTGGACGAACCACGCGAATCCTAGTCACGGACTCATCTGCCACTACGACGATGGTCTCTAACGAGAGACCCCGAGTTGAGACCACTTTGCTGCGTCGTTAACGCATTACCCACTATTACATTACTCTTAATACGTAGCTTACAAGTGATCACCGTTCCGAGATAAAGTAGAAATTCTAGCAGATCTGCCACTTTTTGCCGCCTCTCTCGCGATAGATTTTCGATTCTTTTAACCTGATCACTCGGCGTGTTTCAAGCACAAGGTGAGACAGAAGTGATAGAGCAGTCGATTTCGTTTCGTTCTGTGTTAGTTTATAATTTTTAAAGTGTACCGTCAGATGGAAATGGCAATGAAAGTGTGTACTCTGTAATTCTCTGCGCTATTCTTGAGTTTCAAGAGAGGATTGTTAACCCCACTGCGCTCTTGGGTCAAAAAAGACCCAGAGAGACACCTTACGTGTAACCGTTTCTTTTACCAGGACGTGAACCTAGACAATAAGCTTTCGACGTAAACTTAGGGGAACACAAACTCGACGATAGCAAAAATTATTAAAAAAATAAAAAGGCGCTGGGTCAAAAAAGACCCGGACGCCGCACTGGGATGAATTCTCGATCACTGTTGAGTTCAAGAGCAAGTTGACATGTATTTGCAAGCTTACAGTCGCAATTTTAAACTTTCCTTCGATGCCCAATATAACAATTCTATTCAGGAAGAACCTACGACCAACAAAAATGGTAAAAAAATTGTAAAATTTCCTGAGATACCCGAAACGACAGCTCTATTACTTCCAGCTCACCCGGTAGGCTTTCCACCGTACTGGTCATAGTAAATTACATTTCAATTTTCTCCTGCATTCGAAGAAGTTTCTGTTCTACGGTATATCTACAATACCATCTCGCAGACACGCGGAATTCTGTAAGAAACTATCGGAGAAGTGCCTAGTCAAGCTCCCATTTCTCAACCTGACCATATGACGAATCATCGTGGATGCATCGACAGGCGGCAACGCTTGTCAGGCTCTTTTTCACGTTCCATTTTTCTACGCTTTCCCCTGTTCGTTCGTTTCAAGGACACCCCGTAGACATGCACCTGCACCATCCAAGACACACCACCGGCTCTCTTTCCTCGATGTCCTCGGCCACGGAGGGTTGCGCTGCTGCTGCTGCTGCTGGCTGCTGGTTACGGTGGTGGTATAGCGTACACGTTCACGGTAGAATCTGAAAAAGGGAAGGTGGTAATCGTGAGGGAATAGAGGGGACAGGCTTCGCAGAGAAGAGAGAAGGAGAGAGACGAAAAGCGGCAGAGCGAAGCCACAGGCGGCCAGCCGTGTCTCCGGCGAACTCGGTCGGCAGCTCTCTTGCCAATCCTGGCATTTCCACTTCTATGTGTGTTTATGCACCTCCAACGTGCCCGTCGTACCCATCGACCATGGGCTCCACTTACGTCGGGCACACATCACGCGCGATGTGTGTTCTACCGGCGAACAAACGACGGTGCGCTGACCTTTTCCTCCTATCTGGATAGAAAGCACGCGCGGAAAAATCGCGGCACGATGCTCCTCTACGATGTGTGGATAGTTATTAGCCGCAAATATTTTCGAACAAACAGCCCCACGGTGATAGTGGATAATTGACGAGGCGACGAGTCGTCTCGCGTGGAATTAAGAGGAGGAGGGAAGATTTATTACCGTGCCTGTTTATTTTTCTGTTCTTCGGGTCGTTCACATCGTTCACATTCGATTGCTTAACCCTTTTCTCCTTCGCTTCTTAAATTTTCTTTTAAAAATCCACTTGGTGAAAATTTGCAATTTCTCTCAGGTCTCGGGCAACCGAAGTATCTTCCCACAGAAAAATCGTCGAGCCTAAAAACCAGCAGCAGAAATACCTCCGTGATAAAACAACTCCCTCGTACTTCTGCCTGTGAAAAATCGCCGGTGAGGCCGGACGTATCGAAGAGTGGAATCTCCAAGTCACGCCGCGGATTTTCTTCGATTGGTAACGACGAGAAGCGGTGTAAGATACGTGTTGCGGTCCGACTGTGCGGCTACTACGTATTGCTAGTACTAGAAGCTCATCAATCGAAGGTATCAGCCGAGAGAGAGAGAGAGAGAGAGAGCCGGTTTACTGACAAGATTAAGATATGCCATAGCCGTGGGCATCGTAATTTGTAAGAAGGAACCCCGGTAGACACTCTTCGGTATACGACCATCGTCCAAACGACGATGCGTACCTGGTAGCTACAGAATCAGAGAATTATTCGGGGTTCTACCTACCATTAGAATTGTCGTTGAAACACGGCTAAGTGGGTCTCTCTCTTTCTCTGTTAAAATACACAACGGTTTGATCGTGTACAAACTGGCCTGGAACAATTCGTCAGAATCGGCACCAATAAAGGCTGACGGAAGGACACCGTGTCAAATAAAGCGATTTCTTTTTCCTCTCTCTGTTCGACTTTGTTTCGCAGCTGCGGGCTTCACCTGCGAAACGGTTCGTTGAGCCGACGTCGCCACTGCGCCTCTTACCTGTTGAGGCGAGTCAAACATAGTGCCTCCGCGTCGTCCAACACCTGTTACGAGAAGCCACGGCTGAGTCAGGTTCTCCCTTCAAAGAACTACCATGGTGATCGACGAATATCGACGACTCGGCCTATGAATGTATCATAAACGTGGTAGGATGTTGACGCTTCGTGAACCGTAGACAGTTCGTCGTGTATATACGGGAGACACTTGCCGGCGTTTATGCCGAAGAAAACGTGTCTGGTTATAAATACGTGGACAACAAGCCGCGACGCGTTCAGATGCTACTTTAGTTGAAACAATCGGGGGATCGCGTTTCTGGACTATTTGCGAAGGGTCTCGGGTTTCGTTAATGGTAGACGGGGATTGGTGTAACGAGTAATATTCTGCAATCGTTAATCTGAAATTTTCCCGAAAAAGTGAAATGGAATATTTCTCAAAATTTTGGGAAATTCATGAAAATTTGGGACTGTTTGCAAAGAGTCGCGGGTTTCGTTTACGTTAGAAGGATGTCGATAGTTTTTTAATTAGTTCAGCGTGGGCTAATATTCTCTACTCGTTTACTTGAAAATTTCCCAAAAACCTGAATAGAAAGAAGTATCGACCGTGTTAAATTCCCAGCGAACAGACCGCACGAAAGAATACTCCATCGCCTTCAATCACAGACTAATTACTCCCACAAAGATCCCGAAAATTTGTCCGATTTCGGAATATTCAACACTGGTCCCAGACAGCAAGGGAAAGTGTACAGGTAAATGGTAGGTATATCCGTCCAGGGATTTGAGGAGTACGATCGTTGGGTCAGGGTCGAGAACCAGCACGATAGTCGACTTCCGTCAGCCCGTAGAGTCGACAAAGAGGAATTTGTAATGCGGCGGAAATGTTATTCCCAGAGGGGTATGCTGTAAACGTGGCCGTCACGTACGTGGTCGCTTCCAACACAAAGAAAAAAAGAAAAAAATATTCCGTGAAAAGTATAATGTGCCAGCGGATTCGTTCGTTTCGTTTCGATGGAACAGGAGGCGCGCATACACACGTCGCGTTTAGAATTCAGAACGTATCGCTTTAAGGTCATAAAGGAATTACAGCAATCCATGGTTACTCTGCCAACAACTCGGATCCAACTAACGGAACGAAGAAGAAATGAACCAGAAGAGGAGTTTCACGGTGAGAAACTGATATTATTTACAGATTACGGCACGCACGAACCACGTCTGGACAACTAGCAGCCCTAAATTAAAACGGCGCGGAGAGAAAAGATGCACTCGTTGTTAAGCGTTGCGTTCTTTTCTCTACGTGGTGCACTCAATCAGAGAGAGAGACCGTTGGGAAGACCGAAGGAGGCTGGGTGTCAAGCGAATGGATTCTTATCTGACGCCGTTAAAAGATGCACCAGCGAGGTGGGCTCGCGAGAGCCTCCTCTCGACCTTTTTTTCTCCTCTTCTCGTCGCGTACGTACAACGAGGAAACGGGAATGCCCGGACGGACGGTTTTCGGGGCCGCGGAATAATCAGATAAAAAAGATAGTCGTTAGATAAAGCGGCAGTCAGAACCTCTGGGAAACCAGTTTTTCGTACGTAACGATTATAGGCCGACGAATCAGATGACGTGAACTCGCGAAGATAACTCACGCCTGTGCCAGCCGTTTCTCTTCCTTCTTGGTCACATTGTTCGACGAACGTCTCTCGTTGCTCAAATTCAGGTTAACCCCTTTTGGCCTCGTCGCGCAAGTGTCACTTGCCTCGTAGTTTCCTTACTCCGAAGTGTACACGGTGACAGTCTTCGTTCGCTTCGAATTTCTTCGTATCGAATTGAACGTGAAAGGGTTAAGAGAGATAACGATTGATACTCGGCGTCTATGTGTTATCTGCACGGTATAAAGTCCGGGCAATGTACACACAGGCCTGAGCGATGTTCTTTAATTCCTCCGGATGAGTAATAAATAATGGAGAGAAAGTTATAAAAAAATCTAAATCGTAGAAATAAAATCTAATTTACATACTGTAAGCACGAGGAACTACTACTTTCGACTTGATCTCAAGAAACGGTGCTTATCGCAGATGAGCCATTGCCATTGCACAACGAACGACGGTAGATAGTGATCGAAGTGTCGCAAACTCAGCTAGTACTTCACCTGTACACCAATCGTCGGTGTACACATTACCTAAGCAAAGTACAAGACACACCTTACTCCGTAGTTTGCCTAGACGGTCTATACGCTCCGTGTAACATCCACTCGTACAAGTTAATTTGGAGAAAACGTAAGAATGATAAGATTGCAGGTAGCGACAGAGAATGCTCCTCTCTGATCGAATTCGTTTAAAGTCGGTAGGAAGGACGCGTCTCGTGTTGCATCTTCGAGCATTAAAGCCGCATTACCCGACTCCCGTGAGTACAGCGACCAAGTCTCGAGAACACGGGGCTCTCGCGATACCGGGATCACCACGGTGGCGCGATGAAAACCAGTTTCTCGTGAAAAGCGACTACGGGGCAGTCTCGAGACTCTCGCACGGACGACGACGACGACGACGGAGGAGACTATAGGGCAGAAGGAGACTCGGCCAGACGTAATATCGCGTCTCGAATTCCCCTCGGGTTTATATTTGTAACCTCGACGTTCTTCCATCTTCGTCGTCCTCCACTTCTGCGTTGTCACATTTCGGCCATACAGCCTCTGGGTGTGATCGATCCTTACCACGCGTCGAATCGCCCAGAAGGAGAGCACCTGTCGAAAATGCAAACAAGACCGAAAGGTTTCGCTTTTCCATCCGCGTCTCGGTGGGCGAGTTTCCACGGGCGTTTGGCCGGTCGCCAGTGTTCCGACGGTTCTTCCGAGCAAAAAGGGGGTGACGTATCGCCGGTACCGTTTTGGTGCAGCTCCAAACTGTCGCGGATTAATGTACCCGCGTATCGCGAGATCTCGAGTTTCCAACCGGAGATAACAGCGGCTCTCGAAGAGGTTCGTGTGAGCTAACGTCCTTGGTCTCGTCTTAACAATAACGCGACGTTTCCACGGGACGAGAGAATTGAACGGCGACGTTTAATTGCCACGGGTGCCTGTGAATCAGCAAGTACAGCTGCTGAACAGATTCGCAATTTATTCGAACGTACACGTTGCAATTTCCAGCGGTCTTTAATAGCGTCGTCGACACTCTACATTGTCGCGGAGGATGTTCTTCCTCGTGTAAAGCAAGACAAATGAGGATTTGAAAGGGGCGAGGGGGGATTCGCGGATGGTTAGGTCAGCTGCACGATCGAGCGTAATGCGTCCGCGAGGAGGATTTTCAATGTAACCGTATAGCCAGGGAGTATAGTCAGAACTGTCGGAGTGTACGAACGCGACGCCGGCCTCCGGAGTCTCGAAAGCAGAAGAGACATTCCAACGCGAATAAGCTGCATCGCCTCGCTCTCGAGGGCAGCTTTAAGGTTTAAGCCTCGCGGTTTAGAACGGGGCGACGGAGGAATTCGAATCCCAGCCGCCATCTGCTCTAGCAGCAAACTCTAGGTACTTAGGTGCCTCCTCCTCCTCCTCCTTCTCTCCCTCTACCTATTCGCTTTCTTGTACACTTTCCGCGTCTCTTTTCAACCAACCATACACACCGTTTCCTATCCTACTTTGCCGCTTCTTCTTCTTCTTCTTCGTCCTCTTCTTCTTCTTCGCCGTACCTCTCTTCTCTCTATATCTCTTCTCGTCTCTAAGGCCAGCGTTACGGTGCTGAATGTCCGGTTAATGCACCTGCGTACTGCCGTGGCTCGTGAGCGGAACACCATGAAGCAAGGAGGACACAGAGAAGAGTAGGAACGAAGAATAGCACACGGTGGAGACAATCATGGCGCTACATGTTGCCACCGATGACGAGAGAGAGAGGCTAGAACACACAGAGAACCCGGGGAGATAAAATGTGAACAGTAGGGACCAACGGGTTATTGGATCAAAGGAGAAACGAAGGGGAGGAAGTGTGAAAAAGACAGACGATGCTCAAGTGACAGGGGTAATCGGAAAGGGGTTTAAAACTCCGAGAGAAACGTTCTTTCGCTTCTTCCTTGTTGAAACGTAGCTAACTACACTCGACATAGTGGCACGTCGAATATTATAATTCTCGATACGAGTAGGATTTGAGAGAGCGTAAAAAGGAAACGAGCATGTTCTCTGGTTGTTAAGTGGTATCAGCTACTTTTCATATTATAACCTTTCTATTTTACGCCGCTTGTCGTAACAATTTTTAATCTGCTCTGCTCGAAGGTTTAAATAACGATAGGAGAAAAAGAAGGAGAAGAAGGACTCTTTCTGCTTCTAATTCTCGCCCATCGTCTCTCTACTCTTCCTCGGTGCTTCCTCCTTCCACCACTCTGTGCCACGCTGCTCTCAGACCATGCACCAATTCATAAAATCCCTGGAGCGAGCCTAAGCGCTCCACTAACTCCGTCGACGAGTCGCTGACCTCGGGATTCAGCGGTGCGCATCAGCTGCATTTCTCCGTGCGCATAGACCAGTTGCGCCGCGATGGTCATGGTAATCCTGCGAGGGAAGAAGGAACGCCGCGCCGTTTCGAAACGAGGAAATACCACCGAAAAAACGAGCGGGGAAATCGTCGAAACTGTAATCCTGGCCGGGCGTCTGATCGGCAACTATGCGAGCGTTAATTAAAAGAGTACCGCAAATCCAGCTGGTTCCGTTCACCAAGGGGGCCTCTGAAAAGTGTCATTGACCTTTACGATCATTTCACGCTACGTTTTATGTGGGATAACTGCAGATTGGTTTAAAGAGTTATGTACACCTGGAGAACGTAAAAGTACGCTTATCTATGTGATACCTTTATCGGTGAAATATGAAAGGTACGGAAGTATAATTGGCGCCGTTTCGAGAAATGCACCTTCGTCCGGCAACTTCGTAAACTTTTATCGAGAGTTAGTTCAAAATAATCCTAAACGAGTGATTTAACTTTCACATCGTTAAACTGAAAGTTAGGTAACTTTCAAATTTTTCAATTTTTACTACCCCTCGAAAGGGTAATTTCAATTATTAA